CTCATATCTCAATGCCACTAAGAACATTTGTGATTTGTGGGAAGAAGTCAAAATATTAACATGAACAGGAGTTTGGAAGAAGTTGATCCCAACCCTCTTGGATGACTTTGAAGGGTTCAAGATTTCAGTGGAGGAGATAACTGGAGATGTGGTGGAGATAGCAAGAGAATTAGAAGAATTAGAAGTAGAACCTGAAGATATGACTAATTTGCTACAATCTCATAAAAAACTTTACCGTATGAGGAATTGCTTCTTATGGATGAGCAAAGAAAGTGTTTTCTTGAGATGGAATCTACTCCCGGTAAAAAAGTTGTGAAGGTTATTGAAATGACAACAAAGTCTTAGAATGTTACATAAACTTACCTGATAAAACAGTGCAGGATATGAGAGGACTGACTCCAGTTTTGAAAGAAGTTCTGCTGTAGGTAAAACACTATCGAAGAGCATCATATGCTACAGAGAAATTGTTCGTGAAAGGAAGAGTCCATTTATGCAGCAAACTTAACTGCTGTCTTAAGAAACTGTTACAGCCACCCTAACCTTCAGCAGCCACCACTCTGATCAGCAGGCAGCCATCGACACTGAGGCAAGACCTTCTGCCAGCAAAAAGATTGTGACTCACTGAAATCTCAAATGATGGTTAGTATTTTTCAGCAGTAAAGTATTTTTTAAATTTTATTTAAATTCTAGTTAGTTAATATATAATGTAATAGTAGCTTCAGGAGAGCAGTATTTAAAAAAAAAGATTTTATTTATTTATTTGAGAGAGAAAGAGTGCACGAGAGAAAGCACAAGTCAGGGAGGGGCAGAAGTAGAAGCAGACTCCTCGCTGACCAGGGAGTCTGACGTGGGGCTCAATCCTAGGACCCTGGGTTTACCTGAGTCGAAGGCTGACACCCAGCTGACTGAGCCACCCAGGTGCCCCACTAAAGTATTTTTTAATTACAGTATGTACTTTCTTTTTTAGATATAATGTTACTGCACATTTAACAGAATTTATATAGCATAAACATAATTTTTATAAGCAGTGGAAAATTGAAAATTCATTTACTTACTTTATTGCAATATTCACTTTGTATTGTGGTAGTCTGGAACATCTGCAATATCTCTGAGGTTATGTCTGTACTTTGGCATCAAATTGGAGAATGGATTGGAAGGATGCTAACTGGGGGCAGTGAATCTATTATAACTATCTGGGAAGTTAATAATAAAGATCTGAACTAAATCAATAGCAGTAGAGATGGAGAACAAGGGGTGGATTCCAAAGGATGCAGAAGAAACATGTAGAGGTACAGAAAATAAGTTTAGTATTGGTCATGTTAAATTTACTAGTAGCGGGTATACATTTGGTGTATGAGTCTGGAGCTCAGGCAAGGTTTGGGAAGTGTTATAGAACTAATAATCACATAATATTTTAAACACATGAGGTTATTTGAAGTAAATCTGTAAGATCTGAAAAGGGCCAAAGACGTAAATTCTAAAGAAAGTTTACATTCAAGGAACCGAAAAAGGAAAGCAAGCCTACAAGAGCCAATAAAAGAGACAAGTACTACATTATCTACCTCTCTCCTGTACTATAGTGAGATTCATGGGGCAAGAGTGTCAATTTATTCATCTTTTATATCTGGGACCCAACATAGTACCTGACATTTAGTAGGTGTTTACTAAATATTTGTTGAACAAACTGAATACGTTTTAATATATGGTATTGTCTTTTAAATACCTAACTAAAGAGCTTGGAAGGTTTAATTACAATACCCTTTTGCCTTAAAAATTGAGTTTGATCCAACTCAAAGGCTGAATGCAAACCTCTATTACTTCTCGTCATAATGAGTGGAAACACTTGACAAGGAAGTTAACCATCCTTGAAGAGTTTGCTTACTTATGAGTGGCAACTGATTTAATGAACAAATGAGAGGGAAACAAGGACATGAAGGGAAAAAAGAATCCGTCTCACAGCATTTTTTTTTTCCTAAAAGAAAAATAAAAATGGCCATTTTCAATTCTGTTTTTTCCTTAGAAGAACTGAGATTTCTATCTAAATGTGACTTTGGCATACACAGTAAGATCATCCAAGGTACTGATATTAAGGGAAACTACCCTGAAATTATCACAAGCCGAGATGGTTAACTTATTTTTATAATAAGTAAAGTATTACTTAAACTTTTTTCCAACTTAAGTTTATATTCATATTTTCTGAAAATGTCTTGGTGTTGATATAAAAATATCTGAATATTTTGCTTTTAATAATATAAAGAAACTTATTTCATTATAATTATTTTCTGAAATCACATAGTTAATTGCTGAATAATTCCCCACTCCAATTTTTAAACCTTTATTTCCTTTAATGAGGGGTAAAACAAAACTGAAAGAAAAGGTTCCAGCCTAATGACATACACATACCTAGAAGAAGATAAGTCAAAGATGTATAACTATATAAAAACAACTTTTGTCTAAGTAAGGTCAGGGACCAAAGAGCCAGAATCGGGTATTTAATATTTCATTAGTTTTTTACTTTTTAAAAAAAGTTTTATTTATTTACCTAATCTCTACACCCCACATGGGGCTCAACCTTATAAACCTGAGGTCAGAGTCACATGCTCCCCCAACTGGGCCAGCCAGGTCCCCATAGCTCTTTTAACATAATTTGTTATGTTTTCTACCATTATTTTTGTATTTTAATACTGAAAGAAGAGTATTATCATCCAGTAAAAGAAAGAATGTAAGTCTTGAGATTATTCTGCTGCTTCTATAAGTCTGGGTTTCCTTGAAGAAAAATTATGGTGTTTGTGTAGATGCTCTCTAATGTTCATTGAAGTTTGAATATTTTATGATCATGAATAAAGTCTTGTATTTGTAAAATCAATCTTTTTGTGTTTATCTGCATAACAAAAACAATTAAGAAACTATATTTTATTCAAATTGCACTAAAACTTCTATGTTGAATTTTTAGAAAGGAAAATGGTTGATTAAAAACTGAAAACACAGGAGGACACTACCTTTCCATTGTCTTTCCACAGGCTGGTCTCCACATGCTATTAACGTAAGAGCCTATGTGCATATTCAGGGTACTAAATGAGAAGAACATGCACCCAAGAATACTTTATTCAGCAAAGCTATCATTCAGAATGGATGGAGAGATAAAGAGCTTCCAGGATTGGCAGCAACTAAAAGCATATGTAACCACCAGGCCAGCCCTGCAATAAATACTAAGGGGGCCTCTATAAAAGAAGAAAGATGCCAAGAGTAATATAGCCCAGAAATTTACAGAGACAATCCATAGAAATAGGAACTGTACAGACAATAGGATGGCAATATATACATGTCTTTCAGTAGTAACTCTCAACATGAATGATCTAAACGCTCCCATGAAATGGCACAGGGTTGCAGATTGGATACAAAGACAGGAGCCATCTACATGCTGTCTAGAAGAGATGAATTTTGAACCTAAATACACTGCCGGACTGAAAGTAAGGGGATGGAGAACCATTTATTATGCCAATGGACCTCAAAAGAAAGCTAGGGTAGCAATTCTTATATCAGAAAATTAGAATTTATATCAAAGACTGTAATGAGCAATCCAGAGGGACACCATATCATACTTAAAGGTTTAACAACAAGAAAATCTAACAATTGTAAATATCTATGTCCCCAACATGGGAGCAGCCAACTACATCAACCAGTTGTTCACCAAAATAAAGAATCAGATCGACAATAATACTTTAATTGTAGGAGACCTCAACACTTCACTCTCAGCAGTAGACAGATCATCTAAGCAGAAGATCAACAAAGAAACAAGAGCTTTGAATGACACACTGGACCAGAGGGACCGCATACATATATACAGAACATTCCACCCTAAAACAATGGAATACTCATTCTTCTCAAACACACATGGAACTTTCTCCAGAACAGACCACACACTGGGTCACAAATCAGGTCTCAACCTATACCAAAAGATTGAGATTATCCCCTGCATATTCTCAGACCACAATCCTTTAAACTGGAACTCAATCACAAGAAAAAATTTGGAAGGAATTCAAACACTTGGAAGTTTCTCATTGAAAATGAGATGGATGAAGCAGAAAAACTAAGGTCAGATTGGTTGCTCAGGGATCAATGGATATATTGATATGGTTTTTACATTTTACATTTAAAAAGATGTTTTCCCACAAAGGAAAACATGGTTACAAGACATATTCATTATCTCTCATTTCTGAAAAAAAGGACAGCAGGCAGACATAGAGATAACTACTTTCCTCACTCAGGACTGATAATCCTTTCTTTTGTTTTTAAGATTTATTTTACTTATTTGAAGTCCTTTTTATAAAAATGATTTATTGATTTATTTGAGAGACAGAGAAGAGTGTGGGTAGGGGCAGAAGGAGAGAGAATCCTCAAGCAGACTCCTCACTGACCATGGAGCCCTATGTGGGGCTTGACTCCAGGACCCTGAGATCATGACCTTAGCAGAAACCAAGAGTCGGACACTTAACTGACTGAGTCACCCAGGTGCCCCTATTATATTTATTTGACAGAGAGAGAGAGAGCATGAGCAGGAGGGGGCGTGGATGAGAGAATCTCAAGCAGACTCCTTGCTGAGCATAGAGCCCGAGACAGGGCTTGATCTTATGACCCTGAGATCATGACCTGAGCTGAAACCAAGGATTGAACACCCAACCGACTGTGCCACCCAGGTGCCTCTGATAATCTTTTCTTTAATTTAGAGTATTGGTATTTCGATGGACAAGGTAAACACAGTTAATTATTTTCCTTCTTTTTTTTTTTTTAATGAAGAGGAAGCTTTATAGGTGCTTTACTCTCTAATACCATTAAGATTGATCTTACAGTTGAGTAGAAATAAAGCAAAAAGAATTATATAGTAATTATGATAATGGTTAATAACCTTTCTCCTTCAGGAAAACCATGTATTTATATTATTATGAATCTTACTTGGAAAAAAAATGAAAAGAAAAGGCAATGGGCAAATATAATAGTACCTCGGTAGTTGATGATTTCTGTCCCAAGCACCGGAGTCATCTCCAGGACTGTGATGAAGGCTTTGTCCATAGACGTTAGAGGAAAAGGAGACATGCGGTGTCTTCTAGCCACCTTGGTGATGTCAACAGCACTGTGACCTAAACAGGAAGATAATTAACTAAGACTATGATGCTGAAACAGTGATTACAGAGTGGGAATGTCTTATAAATATCATTAATTCTCATTTTCATATGTCTGTAAATGAATATTATAAGGTAAGAAATTTTATTTTCCTTCCAAAATATAGCCTGCTTTGGTGGAACATTAAATCAAATCAGCAGTGTTACATTATATGTCAAAACTTGGTGAAATTTAATCATGTTATCAGATAATCCTTTTGGGTGCTTACTGTGCATTGTGGCACTGTTCCAATTAATTTTCACAACAACCTTATGGGGAGGCATTATTATTATCCTTATTTACAGATGAGGAAAGAGGGGTTTATATATCTTGGCCTAAATCACAAAGCTAGTAACAGTAGAGACAGGACTCAAACTAGGGTAGTGTGACTTCAGAGTTTATGTCCTTAACCACATACTAAACATTGAACACTTAATGAGCTAGCTAGTAAAATGAAATACTCAAACTTGAATTTATTTAGGATTTCATAGGAAATTTTCTTTTTTTAGAAAAGCCACAGGAAAAGATTATTTAGCTACACACTCCTTATTCACTCTCCTTCATGGCATTAATATTACCCATACACTAAAACTCCTAATTTATATCTCCAATCCCAACCTCTATCTTCAACTCTAGATTTTTATGTCATCTAAACAGCTGGTAGATAGGAATGTGCATCTCCAAACTTATAAATCATCCAACATGTACTTGGATGTACAACAGGTAAATGAAACTGAACATGTTCACAATCAAATTCTTGATTCCCCCCACCCTTCTATCTTGCCCTTATGATGTTTTATTCTCTTGCAATTTCTATCTCAGAAAATAGCAACCTGATTCTTGCAGTTATTAATCCAAAATCTTGGAAACATCCTTGATTCTTCTCTTTTTGTCAGAACCATATCTAAACTACCTTTGAAATAGCTCTAGAATCTGACCATTACTTACCACCTCCACAATTACTACAATAGTTGGATCCATGATTTATTTCCTGGGAAACTGAATAGCCTCCTAACTGATCTCCCTGCTACTGTCCTTGTTCCACTATAATTTACTCTACACAGTAGTTACAGTGATCCTTTTAAATTTTAAACTGGATTGTGCTAATCTTTGCTCGTTACTCTCCAATGACTTTCCATCTCACTCAGAATAAAATATTTGCTATGGCATGGAGTCCAACATATTATGGCCCCTACTATCCTCATCATCTATCATTTCCACTCTTGATCATTGTGCTCTAACCACACTGTTTTCTTGCTTGCCCTTGGGCATGCCAAATAATCCCTCCTCAGGGTCTTTGTACTTGGTATTTTGTCCACTTTGACATCTTTCCCCAGATACTATGGTTCCATCAATCCCTCATTTCTTTCAGGTCATTGCTAAAATATCATCTCATCAGAGAGGACTTTGTTAAACATCCTATCTAGATTATTACCCACCATTATTCTCTATTATTTTTATCCTTTCTCCGTGGATATATAAATACATACACACATATATATGGATACTCATTTCCACATGCTTATAATTTATATTATACATTTATATTTATAGCCTTCCCCTTTAGAATGTAAGCTCCATTGTCTTTTTTGTTCAATGTTATCTCCAGTATCTAGAACAGTATTTGGCACATAATAAGCAATAAAAATAAATATTTGTTAAATTAATGAATCATTTAATGACAGAAAGGGACTTCTTAGATCACTATATTTTCATGCATAAATAACTTGGCCTTTTCTTTCCTTTATAGCCTGAGGGTAAACAGAAAAGGAGTAACTGCAAACACAGTTGCTTGGCTCTATCCTGTCTGCTATTCACAGCTCCATTCTTCCCTAGCCACTCTGCAGTTGAGTGTGGTCATATGATACAGTTCTGGTCAGTAAGATGTTGGAAGAAGTCCCTGGGGGCAGGCCACTATGGTGAATAAAAAGAAAAAGAGAAAGCTTTAAGAGGAGAAAGCTTTTGCCTTTTCTTCTTTCTGCTTGGGACATGGGTAGATACTGGGAAGTGCTGGAGCCATTTTTTAACCATGAGGGTGGAAACCCACACAGTAAGTATGGAAATCTGAGAAGAAAAAAGAGCCTGAGTCTCTGCTGACAATATTGAGCTGCTGCACAATCCCTGGACTGTCTGTCACCAGGCTTTTGGTATGCAAGACAAATAAATTCCTATTTCTTTAATCCACTTTATCATGGCTGTATATATTCCTCAGTAGTCTATAAGTTCCTAGTCATTGCAATTTATTAAGTTTAATATCTCTAACCCAACCCCAGCAGTTGCTTCAGACATATTCACTTAATTAACTTAAAGGTACCACCTCAAAGAGTTTCCATTTAAGGTGAATGATATTGTTATAAGTACTCAAAGAAAAAGACATATAAAGATGTTATACTTAGGACATTTCCCTCCCATGGGCAATCAGAAAATTACAAAATTTTCAAAGCTTGAAGGGCCTTAGAGATTTAGTGCTAAACATGAATAGTATTTCTATTCAAAATTTAAATAAGTGGACACTTATAAAGGATTATGTATATCATTTACTTATAATTTGAAACATAAATTTATTTCTTGCTTTCACTGAAGTCCCAACTTTGTCATTAAATATCATGAAGACATATTGTCACAACAAGTGTAACTGGAGAAAATGATAGAGATAGGTGCTTCTGTTCTTTTTTGTTTTTTCAGGTTTATTGGTCTCAGATATGATATTTTCTAAAATATGTTTTACTTTCTTTATGGTGTCCAAATTGTGTATAACCTTATAAAAGCTATCCTTTTAAAGTGTTTAGTTTCCAAGGAGAAAATTATACTTTTTAACTGAACAGTTCATTTGTTGAATTGCTTTGTAATAAAATTTTCTTATTAGAAAACTAGTTCATCAGTGATACATCTATTCAACAGCTATTTATTGAATGGATTTCATGAGCCAGTTATGGTTAGGGAATTGGGATACAGAGTGAGATACACCCTGCCATGAAGAACATTATAGCTCAGCAGAAAGGAAAGACGGTAAATAAAAAAATAAGAGCAGGTAGGTATTAAACCACCTGATGATAGTTCTCTAACTATAGAGACTGCTGGTTTTCTCTCTAATTGGAAATTACTGTGTGGCTATCTACCAGCCTGGAAAAATCTTTCCCAAAAATCTTTAAAAATAATTTTGCACCTTATTTATATATACATTTTAGGGCACCTACCACTTCTGTGTTATGTTATAGACATTTAAATATTTATCTTACCTATGTTAGTCAGTTGTAAACTCCTTGAAGGTAAACCCTATATCTTACTAAATTTTTGGTTTCCATTTTTTAAAGAAACATGATTTCAACTATTTTCTGATGTTGACAGTAGTTATTTGTTAAGAAGCTTCAAAGTGAAAGCTTCAGAAAATTTAAGAATAGTTATCTCTGACTTTTATTTTGCAGGTTATAATCCCAAAGCACTTTTATTTGACCTGGGCATTAGAGAACTCATTCAGATAGGAAAAAGGATCAAGAATTGTTTTTCTCCACACCCCAATCCTCTTGTTGATTCTGAACCCACCATAGAAATCTAATGGAAAAGGAAAAAAAAAAGTATGTACTCTTATGTCTTGAAGGCATGATGGATTATAGCCTAGCAGCCAAATTTCACTGAATGGGCCATAAAATCCAGTTTGATAGAAGTAGAAAGGTAGGAAAGAATACTTTTTTTAAAATAAGAAGGTTATAATAAAAGGGAGTTTGGTTTTTGGATTAAAAAAATCCCCCCCAAAAAATCCAAAAATTGAGAGAAAATTTGGATAGTTTTTCCCTATAAAGCAAAGATGATTTCATGGCCACAGATATATTCTGATAGCTACCTTACAAATAAATACTAATGGTCACAAAGAGAATCTGTGAGGGTATTAGCTCCATTCAACTCATGTTCACTACAAAACTAACATGTGAAAATATGTGTCCTATATAGAAGATTATAGTGTTCAAGGGAATATTTACTTTAATTTATAATAGTAAAGTTAGTTGGTGATATATGGCTATCACTGATAATTTGTAGGCAGGGTAGCTACTTTGACAAAAATAAACTGCAAAGTGCTGTAGGATATGGAATTTTTATATGGAAATAGGGTGAGGACGGTGAAAGCAAGTCTAGACATCCCCTCCGCTAGTAGATATCCAAACTGAGCAAAGAAGAACAGGTTTGAATTATTATAACATCTAAATTGATAGCATTCTTCTGCAATGGGTTTAATTTTCTCAAGTAAACTTAAAGGATTAAAGCAACTCTAAATTGGCCACAGATTGGTGACCTGGAGGTTTCTCTAACAAATCCAGGTTTCTATAAGTAAAACCTAACTTGTCACTTTTATATTTTCTGGTGCCTAAGTTCAGATGTGGGGCTGACTATATATGAGCCTGGAATCTTTGCAGGTAAAATACTCAAAATGTTACTGAGGTTTTCTATCTTCCATGCAGCAGTTATAACCACTAAAAAGACTATATAAGAAGTCAGTATGAAAACAGTATGGATTCAATCAGGACCGACATCATGAAGGATATGTTTAAATACTAATGGCAGTATCTGTGATGAATAAGGCCTTCAAAGGGGCACAGAAGGTACAAAGGGATTCCTTTCTACTGAGTAGAGTAACTAAGGATCTTTGTCACATAGCAGTAACCTTTTTTTTAATGTAATGGTCATCGTGAAATGAGATTTATACCAATGAAATTATTTTTCCCAATTCAAATGCATCCTTTTCAATCTGATGATTTTTAATATACAATGTTTCATCTTAGCTTGAAAATCCACTCTTTAAATTAGAAGTTAAATAAAGAAAAGATGTTTTCAAATGATATAACAGAATATGATAGAAACAAGATATTTGTGCAGGTTCTTCTTCTTCTTCTTTTTTTTTTTTTTAAAGATTTTATTTATTTATTTGACAGACAGAGACCACAAGAAGGCAGGGAGGCAGGCAGAGAGAGAGAGGAGGAAGCAG